TGATGTTGGTGGTGGTGGTGGTGGGGATGTTGGTGGTGATGTTGGTGGTGGTGGTGTTGGTAGTGGTGGTGGTGATGGTGCTGTTGGTGGTGGTGGTGATGTTGGTGGTGGTGATGTTGGTGGTGGTGAGGATGTTAGTGGTGGTGATGTTGGTGGTGGTGGTAATGTTGGTGGTGTTGATGGTGATGTTGGTGGTGATGATGGTGCTGTTGGTGGTGGTGATGTTGGTGATGGTGATGTTTGTGGTGGTGATGTTGGTGGTGGTGATGTTGGTGGTTGTGATGGTGCTGTTGGTGGTGGTGATGTTGGTGGTGGTGGTGATGTTGGTGGTGGTGATGTTGGTGGTGGTGATGTTGGTGGTGGTGGTGATGTTGGTGGTGATGTTGGTAGTGGTGATGTTGGTGGTGATGTTGGTGGTGGTGGGGATGTTGGTGGTGATGTTGGTGGTGGTGATGGTGGTGGTGATGTTGGTGGTGATGTTGGTGGTGGTGGGGATGTTGGTGGTGATGTTGGTGGTGGTGGTGTTGGTGGTGGTGATGTTGGTGGTGGTGGTGATGTTGGTGGTGATGTTGGTGGTTGTGATGTTGGTGGTGATGTTGGTGGTGGTGGGGATGTTAGTGGTGGTGATGTTGGTGGTGGTGGTGGTGATGTTGGTGGTGGTGATGTTGGTGGTGGTGATGGTGGTGGTGGTGGGGATGTTGGTGGTGTTGGTAGTGGTGGTGATGTTGGTGGTGGTGGTGATGTTGGTGGTGGTGATGGTGCTGTTGGTGGTGGTGATGTTGGTGGTGGTGGTGATGTTGGTGATGTTGGTGGTGGTGGGGATGTTGGTGGTGGTGATGGTGGTGGTGATGTTGGTGGTGGTGGTGATGTTGGTGTTGGTGGTGATGTTGGTGGTGGTGATGTTGGTGGTGATGTTGGTGGTGGTGGGGATGTTGGGGGTGATGTTGGTGGTGATGATGGTGGTGGTGATGTTGGTGGTGATGTTGGTGGTGGTGGGGATGTTGGTGGTGATGTTGGTGGTGTTGGTGGTGATATTGGTGGTGGTGGTGGTGATGTTGGTGGTGGTGATGTTGGTGGTGATGTTGGTGGTGGTGGGGATGTTGGTGGTGATGTTGGTGGTGGTGGTGGTGATGTTGGTGGTGGTGGGGATGTTGGTGGTGGTCGGGATGTTAGTGGTGGTGATGTTGGTGGTGGTGATGTTGGTGGTGGTGATGTTGGTGGTGATGTTGGTGGTGGTGGTGATGTCGGTGGTGGTGATGTTGGTGGTGGTGATGGTGATGTTGTTGGTGGTGATGGTGCTGTTGGTGGTGGTGATGTTGGTGATGGTGATGTTTGTGGTGGTGATGTTGGTGATGGTGGTGATGTTGGTGGTGATGTTGGTGGTGGTGATGGTGCTGTTGGTGGTGGTGATGTTGGTGGTGATGCTGGTGGTGTTGATGGTGGTGGTGATGCTGGTGGTGGTGATGGTGGTGGTGATGTTGGTGGTGATGGTGGTGGATGGAGCGTTTGTGTGAACTAACATGAATGATGGTATCAAAAATCATTACGTGAAAGGATTTGGCCTTTAAAAGGTAGCAAAGCATTTATTTGCAAGGCAATTTTAACAAATTGCACGAACATGAACCATTCAAAAACGTGTCATAACGTGACTGATCAAACATCACGAAAACGTCTGAGGCCTGCGCCCAGAACAATTACCGCACTCCCGGTCAAAGTGCGCCGTCTAATCTGGGAAACGGGGGCATTACAGGAGCAAGGTAAAATTTAATTTAACAACAACATCAATAATAATATTTGGACAAGTTCGGCAGGCCGGATTAAAAAGCCCAACGGGCCGTCCTTTGCCCACGTCTGGCCCAGCCCGTGTAGAGACGGAGCTACGGGATCGCTTCATGACGCAGGAGTGAAGTGTAACGTGGCCCTTGCAGTACCGAGAGCAACTAACAAGGGGGGTGCCCTTCACCCCGCAGCGGATAGACCACGGCTGAGACTGATGACGGACCGGTTGAGGGTCACGGCGTTCCTCTGAGGCCGAATGAATCAGCCTCGCCCCCCTCCGCTGCACTCCGGGCTCTCACGTGATGTATCCTGTACACAAATTGAACGTCTCTGAATGTAGATTGAACTGTCGGCGGTTCCAACGTGCAAGCCTCATCTCCCCTCTTACACCAGGCACCGCCTCCGTGCGCTCTGCGCTGCAGGAGCCGAAGCTTTCTGATCGAAGCGGCGAGTTGACCTTCTCCTTGTGTAGAGGTCAACCCTCGATTCGTCATTTGCCTCGCCTTCTCCTCTTGCTGCCTCCAAGATCTGGAACTTACTTCCCTCAACCATCTGTCCACGTCCAAGCTAAATACATTTCCTCCTCTTCTCTGCCTATGGCCGTCTCTCTCTTAAAATACCGGACAAGTATCACGCCTCGTTGTTACCGGTTAGGTGCACGCGTCTGTTGTGGTATAGCGTCGTGAGATTCGGTTGCATGTAGATGCTCTCTAAATTAAAAATCGTGTTAACTTATTCTGTACAAGCTACACCACTGTCGTCATGTATAATTATCACACACACACACACACCACTCGCGCTATTCGCCACCGCAGAGTTAATCGTGTAGGCAATGTCACAACAGTAGCGCAGCTACCGACCTACTCACCTACAAAGAGTGCAGTATAGCTAGGAGCTGATATGATTAGGCGATTAAGTGAATTGACCAAACTTATAACTTTTGTGTGCATGTATGTTGTTGAACTTCTTTCGCGCTGTACGGTAGTTAACCGTGCCAATCAGAGATGTGGGGGAAGGACGAAAGACTAAACACAAAGCAGTTAAATTTTAATTTAAAGCTTTCGTGACTGCAGTAATTCATATTCTTAGCTCTTTCGGTAAAGTCACGTTGAAGGGAAACAATAAAATAATAAAATATATATAAAACAATAAAAATCATGATGACCGTTTGTGTTATGGTCGAAACGTCGTGAGAATTTTTATTTTTATATATTTTATTACTTTATTGTTTCCCTTCAACGTGACTTTACCGAAAGAGCTAAGAACACAAAAAGCAGTTCTAAAGAAATGAGTTTTAAATCTAGATGTGAATGTGTATAGCTCCAGTGGCTTCCTAATATGGTAATAAAAAGTATTCCAGGCGGCTGCAGAAACACATCTGACAGCGTGCGATACAGTGACCGTCTTTGTTCGGTGACTGAGCCAAAAGGCACTGCGAGGATGACCGCAGTTTGCGTGAAGGTTCCTTAACCAGAGGAACGCGTGGTCAGTAACTCGGGTGGATTAATAAACAGCGACCATTTCAGCGTCACGCTTCCCGAAGGTAGGAAACCCCCTACAAGCCACGCCCAGCATAATACAACTGATTATGCCGCACCCATAACCTCCCATCCAGTGGCACATATGCGGACAAATTTTTAAAAACTAATTGTTATCCAATTTGTCGAGTAATGAAACCGATATATTTGGTTGAGTGATCAACGACTTAAGAAATATGATGATACCCCAGCTCTAATTATAAATGCGGTTATTTAAGAGATGGTCAAAGCAAAATTCATCACCCTAATTCATGACACAAATTTATAAATTCTGATATATAAAATATTTTACTTAATTAAAACCATGCGATATTATTTATTTCGTCGTTGAGCTGCGTGAATTGTAAAACATGCACTCCATTGATTTCAAATATCCATTTAAAAATTGTATCCTTTTAGCAATTTGATCAAAACCTATTTGCGATTTCGCATCTTCATGAGATCAAAGATGAATCGGCCCACTCTGAAACACAAGCAAAATTAATATCTGAATATGAATGGCGTGACCAAATAAAACATATCCTGGATCGTTTTGGTGAACGCTACACTAACAACAATACTCATTTCTATACAACGTCTGGCTCGCATGATTACTCTGTGTGGTTCATAAGGTGGGGCGTGTGCTGCTTTGATGATGGCAATTCAACCCCCGACCCACCACCCTCCCCAACAACTCGCTCCAACCATTCTGCGGTCATGATTTGGGACTGTGATTCCATTTGCAAGTAAACTCACATTTCAACAACGAGGGTTTGAAAGCATTAAGCATTAAGATCTGTCTGCATGTCTGCTCTGTTGTAAAGATGATCCAATATGAACACAATTGTAATACAACAGCTCTGTTGCTGTTAGGGACCATACAATGTTGAAAACTGGCCACAGTTGATTAAATGGCCCACTCATGGTCCAGAGCAGAACTCGGTACCACCTAAGTTAGCAAAACTTTAGTCGTACCCATTTATTTGAATGGAAAATGAAAGTAAATTACTTGATAGTCTCACTCATTGAATTTGTTTATCCCTGGCCACGTAGAGAAATTGCAACTGCTCAATTTAGGCCACCTCACGTGGTACCGACAAAGGAGACATCTCATGGGCTATGGAAAAATAAGAATAGGTTGTATCCTTTCTGGCAATAAAACAGATCTTAAGATTCATTGAAGAAGGTTTCTGTTTGGTGTTTGAACATCTAAACACCCGTTTTGTTGCCAAAAAAGGATCAAATCTATTCTTATTTTGTCATACTTTGATACCGGCAAAACGGTCTCATTTTGAAGCGTCTCATGGACTATTGGATGGGGAGAAAAAAAACGGCGCTAAAAGTCAGCGCCGACCTCTCCTGTCGTGCCCAGTGACGTCATCACGGGCAAAGTTCACCGCGCGAAGTCAAACGCCGCCTCGTGAGCGCCGCTCGAAACGCAAAATCATCGCTCGGTGAACATTTCCGAGGACAAACAAACGCATGCCGGGAACCGTGTGAGTTTGTGTTTCTTGTTTCCTCTGTGCAATGTGGGGGAGGGCTTCATCCAGCAGTGGATTGACAAAAGCGCTGTATGCATACTGCACAGGCTACGCTAACGTCACATTTAGGCCCACGGACCGAACAAACGCGTCTCTCTTTCTCCATCCGTCTCCACTCTCTCTCTTTCTCTCTTCACTGCTGGCCTGTAGGTTTGGGCCAAGCGAGTTCCTGCCGGAGATTTGGCTTTTCAGGAGCTGATTCCCCCCGTGATTTTGTCGGCACGAGGCGACCACGCGGAGTGTCAAGGGCTCCACCGGGCCCCAAGGCGCTGCCCCAGCACCACCGTAGTAGCCAAACCACCGGTGCTCGGCATGGCCTATATGAAGGTCTTGCTGGACCGCATGTTGCGCACGGGGTACAGCATCGTCCAGGAGAACGGACAGAGGAAGTTCGGACCGCCGCCCGACTGGCAGGGGCCCCCTCCCGCCCGTGGCTGCGAGGTGTTTCTGGGGAGGATCCCGCGCGACCTCTACGAGGATGAGCTGGTGCCCGTGCTGGAGATGGTGGGGAAGCTCTACCAGCTCCGCCTCGTGATGGATTATAGCGGAGAGAACCGCGGCTACGCGTTCGCTACCTACGCCACGCGCGCCGAAGCCACGGATGCCGTCAAGAAACTCAACAAATTCGAGATCCGTCCCGGACACCGCATTGGAGTCCGCTTCAGCGTGGACAATCGCCGCCTCTTCATTGGGGGGCTGCCAAAGGACAAGAAGCGAGCGGAGGTGATGATGGCGATGAGCGGTGCCACGGAGGGCGTGGTGGACGTCAAGATGAGCGTCTGTTGCTGGGACAAAACCCTCAACCGAGGCTACGCGTTCATCGAGTACGGGAGCCATCACGCGGCCGCCATGGCCAGGAAGAAGCTCCTTCGAATCAACTTCCAGCTATGGGGCCGGACCATCAAGGTGGACTGGGCCATCCCGGAATGGGACACGGTGGCTGCGGCTGCGACAACCGAAGACGAGGAGGAGAAGGAGGCGGCGGTGCCAGACCTGCCAGAGCCGGAGTGCACGGGCACCGGCAAAGCCGCACACAGCCTGTTTGAGGGCTGGGGGGCACGCACGCGGCTGTGGTGGGCACCTCTCCACCTGCGGCCCATGCCCGTTGCTCTCGAGGCGCTGCCGGAGGCGGCCATGCTGTCGTGGGAGGGGCGGTTGCGGATGCTGTGTCGGACTGCCGGCGTCAGCTACCCAATCTTCGAGCTGCACGCTTACTCAGAGCCCGGGATACCCGTGGGCCTCCTCTATAAGGTGTTGATTCCCGGGATGGGAGAAGGCGCCGGCATCTTCCCCGCATTTCTGAGCTCCAGCGAGGAGGGAGCACGGGAGGTGGCGTGTCAGCTCGCCTACAACATCCTCAGCGATGCGAATCCTCTGAGAATGTGCTAGGCCCCGCCTCCGGCCACGCCCTCTCGTGAAACCTTGGAGCAAGTGACACGAGAGGGCGTGGCTGGAGGCGTGGCTAGGCTCCGCCTCCGGCCACGCCCTCTCGTAGAACCTTCCAGCAGGTTACACGAGAGGGCGTGGCCGGAGGCGTGGCTAGGCCCCGCCTCCGGCCACGCCCTCTCGTGGAACCTTCCAGCAGGTGACCAGAGTAACTCGGCTAGCCCCACCTGTTGCCTTTGCCCCAGATGCGCCTCCTTCCCTGATTGGTTGTTACCTCTGTGGCCGTGCCGTGAAGCCCTTGCCAGGCCTCAGCAGGTGTCACCCTGTGATGTCAACAGGTGTCATGCTGTGATGTCAGCAGTTGTCACCCTGTGATGTCAGCAGGTGTCACCCTGTGATGTCAGCAGGTGTCACCCTGTGATGTCAGCAGGTGTCACCCTGTGATGTCAGCAGGTGTCACCCTGTGATGTCAGCAGGTGTCACCCTGTGATGTCAGCAGGTGTTACCCTGTCATTACACTTTAATGAAAACCGAAAACAGAATCCTTGAAGAAAAAAAACTCATTCAGGTTTTTTGACATGTCGACGCCATTTCGTTTTTGAAAATGCATTCTGATGTCAGAACATTTGATTGTTTATCAAATTGAAAAACCCTTGAACAACTTTGCTGCACACGGAGATGTCCGTGCACCGCCTCGTTTCCACGGCCTCTATCCCGGTGCCATTTGTATTTCAGTTCTGTTCCTTCACCTGAAGAAGGCTACTTGTGTTGTGGCCGAAACGTCGTGATTTTTGTTGTTTTATTTTTTACCTACGTGGTGACTTTACCGAATAGAATCAAAGAGTACACATACAGCTGTTAAAAGTTTGATGTTTTATTGATTTTTAGCTTAGGTGTGTTTTTTCCGGTAATGTTTCTGTTGTTTATGTTTCAGTGGAAATACAGTCCTAAAAAGTCTCTCTCCACTCTCTCTCTCCACTCTCTCTCTCCACTCTCTCTCCACTCTCTCTCTCCACTCTCTCTCCACTCTCTCTCCACTCTCTCTCTCCACTCTCTCTCTCCACTCTCTCTCTCCACTCTCTCTCTCTCTCCACTCTCTCTCTCTCTCCACTCTCTCTCTCTCTCCACTCTCTCTCTCTCTCCACTCTCTCTCTCTCCACTCTCTCTCCACTCTCTCGGCCGAGTCTCTGCCACTTGTGGTTCTGAGTGTCGCACGCTTGGGATCCTTCTTGCCCTCCTCTGCGGTTCTGTGTGTGACCGACGACGTGTGTGGAGAGCTGAAGGGTAGCGGTTAGCGCTACGCTGCACCACGATCCTGGCGACCCAAGTTCGATTCCCACTCACATCCAACATCGGTGACGATTATCTGAACCGGTCCAGGGCCTCCCCTAGGTGGACTCCGCCTCAAATGAGTACCTGGTGCGGTGTGTAAACATCGCCACTAGGGAGACAAAGGCGGCCGGGCGTGGTGTTGGCCACTCACCCCCTCGTGTACCGTGCCGGCCTTATAGGAGCTCGCTAACAGCACTTGCCCCTACAGTCTGTCAAGGCTACACGGGGGATCTTTGTCCGTGCGCGGCACGGTGAGTGTGTGCAGCCAGTGTTTCTGCTGGGCGTATCAGAAGGCAATGAAAATAAGGACAACTTGGCAGTCACACAGACACAGTGACACACACGCACAGAGACACAGACAGACACGCAGAGACACATAGACATACACACGCAGAGACAGACACACACATGCAGAGACACATAGACACACACACGCAGAGACACATAGACACACGCAGAGACATAGACATACACGCAGAAACAGACACACAGACACACATGCAGAGACACAGACACACACAGACACAGAGACACACACAGAGACACAAAGACACACACACGCAGAGACAGACACACACGCAGAGACATACACACACGCAGAGACAGACACACATGCAGAGACACAGACACACACCGATACAGACACACACAGACACACGCCGAGACAGACAACAACAACCGCCATTCGCCACTAAGTGGCGGTGACGTCACCATGACGCTTGTGCCAGGCTATGTGCACCCTGAGGCCACGTGAAGTGTCGAACGCCCGCTGGCAGGAGGTCACGGGGCAGACCCAGGTGCTACGGGTCGACTGACTGAGATGACTGGCTGATGCACCACCTGTGCCCCCTACTGTGCCAACCTGCTGTGCTTTAGCCACCCGGCGCTCCGCTCGTTGTTGTGAGCGTCGCTCCTCCGCCCTCCGTTGTTGAGTAGTGGTCTAGAAACACACACAGACATCACACACACACACAAGACACACACAGAGACATCACACACACACATGACACACACAGACATCACACACAGACATCACACACAAGACACACACAGACAACACACACAAGACACACACACACACAAGACACACACAGAGACATCACACACACACAGACATCACACACAAACATCACACACACACACAAGACACACACAGAGACATCACACACACACAGACAACACACACACACACAAGACACACGCAGACATCACACACACAAGACACACGCAGACATCACACACACAAGACACACACAGACATCACACACACACAAGATACACACAGACATCACACACACAAGACACACACAGACATCACACACACAGACATCACACACACAGACATCACACACACACAGACATCACACACACACCACACAAGACACACACAGACATCACACACACAGACATCACACACACAGAGACATCACACACACACAGACATCACACACACACCACACAAGACACACACAGACATCACACACACACACAAGACACACACACAGACATCACACACACACAAGACACACACAGACATCACACACACATCACACACACACAAGACACACACACAGACATCACACACACACATCACACACATACAGACAGACAAAGACACACACATCACACATGAGACACATAGAGACACACATCACACATACAGACACACACAAAGACACACACATCACACATGAGACACACACAGAGACACACACACATCACACACATAAAACAAACAGAGACACACACCCAGAGACACACACACAGAGACACACACATCACAGACGGAGACACACACATCACACACAGAGACACACACACATCACACACAGAGACACACATACAGACACACACATCACACACAGAGACACACACACATCACACACACAGAGACACACACAGACACACACAGACACACACAGAGATACACAACACACACACAGAGACAGACACACAGAGACACACACACATCACACACGAGACACACACACAGACAACACACACACAAGACACACACACACACAAGACACACACAGAGACATCACACACACACAGACATCACACACACACAAGATACACACAGACATCACACACACAAGACACACACAGACATCACACACACAGACATCACACACACGTAGACATCACACACACACAGACATCACACACACACCACACAAGACACACATAGACATCACACACACACAGACATCACACACACACAGACATCACACACACCACACAAGACACACACAGACATCACACACACACACAAGACACACACACAGACATCACACACACACAAGACACACACAGACATCACACACACACATCACACACACACAAGACACACACACAGACATCACACACACACATCACACACATACAGACACACACAAAGACACACACATCACACATGAGACACACACAGAGACACACACACATCACACACATAAAACAAACAGAGACACACCCAGAGACACACACCCAGAGACACACACACAGAGACACACACATCACAGACGGAGACACACACATCACACACAGAGACACACACACATCACACACAGAGACACACAGACGGAGACACACACATCACACACAGAGACACACACACATCACACACACAGAGACACACACACAGAGACACACACAGAGACACACACAACACACACAGAGACAGACACACACAGAGACACACACACACATCACACACGAGACACACAGATACACAGAGACACACACACATCACACACAGAGACACACACGAGACACACACAGAGACACACACACAGAGACACACACAGAGACAACAACAACAACAACAACCGCCATTCGCCACTAAGTGGCGGTGACGTCACCACGACGCTTGTGCCAGGCTATGTGCACCCTGAGGCCACGTGAAGTGTCGAACGCCCGCTGGCAGGAGGTCACGGGGCAGACCCAGGTGCCACGGGTCGACTGACTGAGATGACTGGCTGATGCACCACCTGTGCCCCCTACTGTGCCAACCTGCTGTGCTTTAGCCACCCGGCGCTCCGCTCGTTGTTCTGAGCGTCGCTCCTCCGCCCTCCGTTGTTGTTGGAGGGCGACTGCCTCCAACTGCCCAGTAGCATCCTTCACGAGCCTCCTCCACAGAGGCCGATCTTGACACCGCTGGTACCAGTCATCGGCAAGTCCACTCAGCTCCACGTCCTCCTGTACCACATCACTCCATCTCTTCTCTAGCCCGTGCCGCGCCCGCTTAGCCCCCTCAATCCGGCCAAACAAAAGCTGTTTCGGCATGCGGTGGCTGGGCATGCGGGCTACATGACCCAGCCATCGCAGCCTTGCCTGCCGGAGGAGCTCACCGATGGGACCCTGCCCAGATCTTTCAAGGATTTGTGAGCTCCTCACACAATCCAGTCTGGTTAAACCCAGGATGGATCGTAGGCAGGCCAGCCTAAATGTTTCTAACCGGCGAAGATGTTCCATTAGGGGGGTCCACGTTTCGCAAGCGTAGAGAAGGGAGGGAATGACCGTGGCCGAGAAGACCTGAAGCTTAGTGCGGAGCGACAGACCAGGTAGCTTCCACACAGCGTTACGCAACCGATGAAAAGATATTGCCGCTCGACTGATTCGGAGTGAGACCTCTGCTGTTAAACTGGAGCCAGTCATAAGCACACTGCCCAGGTATGGG